GATGGGGACACACGGACAGGGATGGGGACAGAGAGGCAGGGATACAGGGGGATGGGGATGCACAGAGAGGGACAGACGGACAGGCATGGGGACACACGGACAGGGACCTCACAGGGACACGAGCACAGGTGGGGACATGGGTGGGGACACAGACACACATGAAGAGGGACACGGATGCACAGAAAGGGACGCACAGCCCAGGGACACAGGGATGGGGACAGAGACCCACAGATGGTGACAGGGGACACAGGGACACACAGACAGGACAGACGGACGCCGACCCCCCGTGCTGGCAGTGGCAGGGGTGTCATAAGCCCCCGTGATGGTTGGGGTGGCCTGGGCAGCGGGGTCAGGCTTTGGGGACACAGCTGCCTGCTGGGCCACCCCAGCACAGGAGCAGGCCATGGTGGCACCGTGGGGGCTCTGTCACCAACCACAGTGTCCCCTCCCTGGGCACCGAGGGGTCAGGAGCCCCAAAACCCCAGAGGGGGCCTGGCTGGGGGGCAGAGCTGCTCCTTGCAGCAGCACCCGGGCCACGATCCCCTGCGAGGGGACACGCTGGGTGACACCCCAGGTGGTGGGGGGCCATGGGGACCCCTGAGTGGGACTGGGGCCTGAGGAGCTTGGTGGTACGGGGGGGACATCTCTTGCTCCGAGGGTCCTGCAGCCCCCAGGAGCCGGAGGAAAGCCGGGGGGGACAAAGTGGGGCTGGAGCTTGAGGTGACCCCGGGGCTGGCGGGTCCTTGCCGGGGCGGGGGGCTGGTGGCCAGCAGAGGGGTTGCCAGCCCGAGCTGCGTGACTCAACGCTGGCTCCGGAGCGGCAGCAATTAAAATCCGCAGCTGCTATTAATAGCTGCCGGCGGAGGAGCCGGGTCCATGGCAGCACCCCCCCCGCTCCACACACCCCCCCCCACCACACAGCTCTGCCGGGGCCAGCGGGGCCGGGGTGGGCTACAGCCACCTCTCCCCGGGCCACCAGCCTTCCCCCTTGGGGGACAGGGTGCCGGGTGGGCAGATGAAGCCCCCTCCCGATGAAAAGCCCCCCCACGAGCAGCCCCCCCCCCCGGCTCCCCGCAGCGTTATTAGCTGGACGGATACTACTCGTTAGAGGAAATGAATGAATTTCCTTGATCATTTTCGCTGCGGCTCCTCCTCCGCTCCATTCAGTGCCCAGCTCCCCGCCAAGCCTTACGCAACGGGGAGGCAGCGCACGCAGGGCTGAATCACGCCGAGCGCGCTGCGACAAGAAAGGGGGGGGGGACACACAGGAGGGTCCTGCCCCCCCCCCAACATATCCCCCCCCATCTCCGAGCTCACCACAGCTCCGGGGGGTGGGGGTCTGACACGCAGCCCCCCCCCAGCCCTGTCCCCTTGTGGGGTTCATCTCCCCCTCACGTGCGGCCGCCGCGTGAGCCGGGGACGTCGCAGGTGACGGAGCGAGAGGGGACTTCAAATAAACAAGTGACACAAAGGGGGGGAAGGCCAGAGCCTTTATTGGGAGCAACAGAGGGGGGGTCATCCCTCCCCGCTCCTAAACCAACTCAGCCGGTGAATGAACTCCCCCCCCAAGCACCAGGGAGCCCCCCCAGGGCGGCAGGAAGAGGGGGGACAGCTCAGCACCTCCCTGCTCCCCCCACCAGCCCCGCTCCCAGACTCCAGCAGAAGAAGGGTGGGTGTAAAAGGGAGGCTCCAGCCCGACCCCCCCAACTGTCACACCGACCCCAGACACCGAGGGGGGGGCCCGATCCCGGCTCCCGCTGATCTTTTTGGGGGCTGATTAATTTCTTCCCATCAACAGCTTGTCTGGGCTCTGGTACATCAGCCCCTGGATTGCAGGCGGGGGCAGGCGGGAGGAAGGAGGAGGAAGATGAGGAGACACCACGACCCCGGGGCCCTGCCTTCACCCACACTCTGGGAGATGCTCAGATTTGCCCAGATGTGGGGGAAAAAAAAACCAAACCTACAAGAAAAGCGTTAGCTGCAGAAATGAAGAGGCAGAGGCAGGGGCTGTGCCCGAGAAGGGACACTGAGCACCGTGCCCCCCACCACGGTGTCACACCCCACCTCTGTCCCCCCACCCCCCCTGCCCGGTGGGAGCTGCACCAGCCGCCTGCGAGAAGCCAAATAACACCCCGAGGTTTGCCACGTCGAGGCAAATTACATTCTCATCAGGCCCTGCTAATTTGTGTCATCCGAGGCCTAAAATAACCCTCCCTCCCCGCACCCCCCCCTCCTCCTTCCACTCCAGGTTTTTCAAAGCAAGATTAATTGACTTTGGTGCGTTGCAGCAATTAAAAGACTGAGCACCAGGAACTGTCAGATGATGCTCATCAGCCTCCATATGCTGCAGCTGTGCCAACCGCTGCCTCCAAGATGCTGCTTCCCAGTCTCCCCCATCCCTCTCGCCGCTGTGGATGGTGCTGCCGGGGACTGCGCCACGGCCGAGCCCGCTCCACGTCGTTATAATTCCATCAGCGCCTCCAAAAAAATAAAAAAAAAACCCCAACCTCTGCTCTGCCTGCGGAAGCTGCTGCAGGAACGAAGGCTACGGCTAATTAAAATGCATCCCCTGCCAGAGGCCGGGGAGGAGCGGGGCTGCAGGAGCCTGCGGAGCGGGAGCCGCTCTCCGGTGCGATGGGAGGGAGCGGGGAGGGCACGTTCCCAGCTCCAGACTCCGATCCGAGCTCCTCATCCAGGAGGATAAACCCCAAGGATCCCCCCCCCGGGATGCGCAGCAGCCTCAGCTTCCCCGGGGGGCCACGCTCTGGAGCCAGGGAGAGAGCTGCTGGTGCGCAGTCAGATTGCAAGCGCCTCTTCATCAGCCCTTCCCCAACCTCAAAACCCGACCCCCCCACGGCCCCCCCTTCCCCAGGGAAGAGATTTCTTTTTCTCCTTCAAAAACACCAGCCAACGGCCCTGCAAAGCCTCAGGAGCGCACGGCGGCAGCGCCATGAGAGCTGCAGCAGCCCTGACGAGGTGCCTGATGGCGACTGCTCAAACCCATTTCACCACAGACCCTTTAAACGCAGCAAACGCTTGCCCTAAAATATTAAAATTGCTGGAAATTGCTGCCGCCCGTTTCTTACAAACTCCCAGATCCCGGGCTCCGCGGAACGGCCCTCGCAGGGGGATTTTCAAAGGAGACATTAAGGCTCCGCTGGAGGTTTTCTTTAGGGAACGCTCAGCGTGGCGGCAGCGCCATGAGAGCTGCAGCAGCCCTGACGAGGTGCCTGATGGCGACTGCTCAAACCCATTTCACCACAGACCCTTTAAACGCAGCAAACGCTTGCCCTAAAATATTAAAATTGCTGGAAATTGCTGCCGCCCGTTTCTTACAAACTCCCGGATCCCGGGCTCCGCGGAACGGCCCTCGCACGGGGATTTTCAAAGGAGACATTAAGGCTCCGCTGGAGGTTTTCTTTAGGGAACGCTCAGCGTAAGGATGAGGAGCAGAGAAGGAAGCAGGGGACAGGGCCACGGCCCGGCCTCGTTTCTTCCCTTAATCACTGAGAAACAAGAGCTCCCAGAGCCACCTGGGGGTTAAAATGGCAGCTCTGCGCGGGGGGGGGAGCTGCGGCACCAGGCCCCAGCCGCCCCTGAAGGGATGTTATTTTTGGCAGCTCTTACAACCAGGTTTTGCTCAAAACTAAGCCAGGGAAAGCAGCTTAGTGCAGCTGTGCAATCCGCCACCCCACCTGCCTTCCGCTTTATTTCGGTGGCTGTTTCTCACCTTGGCAGAGCCCGAGAGCGAAGGCAGCGGGTTCCCAGCGGCGGTTTGCGCAGGGGGGGTGAGGGAAGGAGGGAGGGGGCTGGCTACAGGGATTACCAGGAAGCCACCCGCTCGAGGAGCTCTTTGCAGGCAGCCTTAGAACCAGACTCTTAACGTTGGCGTCGACTAATCTCCGCCCAAGCTGCTGCACCCGCAGATCCAAGGGACAGGGACAATACCTTGGGACACCTACACCGCGACACGCCGCGTTTTTATCTCCCTCTGAGCACCCAGGGAGAAATTCTCCACCTTCGGGTCCTTCAGATGTTTCACCTGGCCCTTGAGCTTCAGTGTCCCCCTTGGCTGAAGGGGTGGCTCGTCCCCGGTGCTGTTGGCGAGGGGAGGAGGTGAGATTTGCTTCCCATCGCTCCCACCTTCACCACTTGAAGAAGACCAGCCCAGCCAGAGCCGTGTAGCCCAGCACCAGGAAGAGAACCTTCAAGAGACGGTCGTTCTTGTCTTCCAACTCTTTGGCGAGGATCTCAAAGAAGGTGATGAACAAGAAAGTGCCCCCCGCGATGCCTTGCAGGAGCAGGGAAGCAATGCTGCTGGCAGCGCTTTGGGTGCTCTCAATCCCCATCCCAATGCTAATGCCCAGAGGGATCATGAGGCTGACAGCCACAGCCATCTTCACAGCATCCTTCAGGGCCAACGAGGCCTTGGCCATGCTGATGCCCAACGCCACGGCGACCAGCGTCTCGTGAATGGCGACTCCCAGGAACAAGCTCATGAGTTTGCTGCCCTCCTCCTGCAGGCCCAGGGCCAGCCCCTCGAAGATGGAGTGGGTACACAAGGCAAAGACCAGCCCGATGAGCCGTAAGGGGCCGGAGCGGGAGAGCTCCTGGATGTTCAGGCCGTGGGAGTGGTGACCATGTTCTCCGTACGGCGCGCGCCCGCGGGAGGAGGCGATGAAGGGAGACTCGTATTCCGAGTCGCTCCCGACATCCGAACCAGCGTTGAAGGTCTCTAAGTCAATGAAAGAAGGTTTCTCCTTCTGGAAGGTCAAGACGAGCTGCTCCACAAAGACAGTCACAAAGAAGCCAACCATCATGATGGTCTCGGCCACCGGGTAGTCCGTGGTGACGTTCCCCTGCCTGAGAACCTCGTCGAGCTGGAAGGAAGGAAACAACCCCCAGTGAATCAACCACCTTCGTCCCTCTGAAGGGAAACACCCCTGTTGTGTTCACACCACCCTAAACGGACACTACATTGATTTGTGATGCTTTCACACCCTTGTACACAGGCCCAAGAGACAGGGAAGCCATTTGCCTTCCAGAGGAAGGTTCGTGGCTGCCTCACAGTATGTTAAACACACACCAAACGGCAGGGGTTTGAGCCTCACGCCCCAGGTGATGCTCAGCCTTTTTCTGCAGCAAAAAAATCTCCAGTTACTCCCCCTGGATGGTCAGCAGTAGCTGAATGGGAGGTGGGCACAGCTCGCCCTCCTGATCTGAAATACCAGGCACAGCACAGCCGTTTCTGAGGTGGCTTCATGGGCCATCCCAGCAAGACATACACCCTTCACCTCCATTTCCACGGGGGCAGAACTCTGGTGGCCTGAGCTCCTGCAGGGCAGGAGAGGGGAGGGTGGTTCCCCACACACAGGGGTCCCTGACATACTCAGTGGCACAAGTTAATTAAAATTGCTCATAAGCAAGAGGCTCATGAGCAGTTACCTTCTCCCTCACGGCAGGCAGCAAGGCGTTGAAGCAGGTGGCCAGGAAGACTCCTCCTCCAAAAGAGTTGCAGAGGGCAAGAACCTTCTTGGAGCGATGAGCTTTCTCATAATCAGCCTCGATTATCTTGACAGGGAGAAGGGACCCAACCAGCATGAGGACACAGATGCCCAGCAGACACAGCACTTTAGCGACCACGATCTTCATCGTGCTTCCTGGCGAGGGCTCCTTGCTGAGGGCAGCTGGTGGGGGTCCCTCTGGCCACTGTTAGAGAGGGAACATCGGCAGAAGATGGCACAGACCTCAAGGGAAAGGTGCTCCTGGGCTCAGAACCTGTGGACAGGAGTAAAACAAGAGAGATTCTCCTTTACACTGTGCAGAAATGCACTTTGCATCCCAAAGTGCACACCAGGCTCTATATAGTGATCACCTTCACTCCCCAGAGGCAACGGGGGAGATGACAGCGGCAGCACCTCGCACACAACGGGGCAGAGGAACAGCAGAGAAAATTTAACCGCAGCAACCAGTAACTTAAAAACCTTGTAAGAATTGTACTGGCTGCCAGGTTCTCTGCTCTCCGTGGGGTGCAACGAAAGAGGAAGCAGAGATTGTTTCATACAAGAGAAAAATGCAAGATCCGAGCTGACCCAGGTCACGAAAACTGACTTAATTTGAAACGTAAACCCGTTTCCACGCAGGTTCCACGCAGCAGCAGTGAAACCTGTCTTCCTAAAATCATTTTACAAAGTGATAAAGTTAAGTCCATTCATAAAAAATATATAAACACCAACAGGTCCCTCTACTCCTCCTCGCAGCAGCACGGCCAGCACCCCGGAGGATCTCACCTCCCACTCTGCACCAAACTGACTCGTGAAGTCAAACCGATGGCACCTCGAGAAGGTTCTCTCACAGGTCACCCCGGCGAGGGCTGCCAGCCGCGCTGCCGACACGCTGCAGCCTGCACCGGGGTAACGGGCTCACACAGAACCCTTCCAGCCACCCTGACACCCACCCCCGCCACGGACGAGGTAAATAATTGGATACCTGCTTCTTGGAGCGGCAAATTAATTTGAATACAAAAGATTCCTGAGGCTAAAGGCTCCCTTGAGGGCTGACAGCATTAATCACTGTCACCACTTCTGCGCAGTGGGCTGCACAAACGGGGATTTTATTAAAAGAGAAGTGGGAAACTGCGTGACTTTCTACTCGGTAAGAGAGTTTAAAGCCTTTTTCTGAGTTTGCAGTTCAAGGAGGAGTGAAGAGAGAGGTCATGGTGGCCAGGCCATCTGCAGCAGGTCTGGTTCTCAGCCGGGTATCCACGGGAAGCGACGTTCATCAGCAGAAAACCCTGCTCGGATGACACTGATTGACTCACTCCCGGGTGAACCCAGCGGAGGAATCAGGTCTGAACAAGTCCAGAGCCTGCAGACTCGCTGTACGCTGACAAGGCTTCCTCAGCAGGCAGGCTGTCACGGCGGCTGACGAGCAGTCCCTCTCCAGAGACGCTGTCGGCTGCGGGGCTGCCATCGCTCGTCAGCGCGGCGCTGACACAGCTAACGAGTCACCCTGCCTCTGCACAGCACGCGCCGCTCCGCCGGCGTCAACACCCCGACGAGGAGTTCACCTCGCACGCCGACGGTGCGCTGTTATGCCAGGCTTCTCAAATGAACCCTCTCAAAAAAAAACCAAACCAAAACAACCCCGCTGTTCGCAACAACGCCTTTGGGATCACAGAGCACGACAGCTTGTGACGGCACCCGCTGGGTGCCAAGGCACCTCCCACACCTCCCGTGGCAGGCAGCCAGACAGCTCCCAGGCCGGAGGAGAGGAGGGAAAAAACCCTCCTTTTTCACAATTCACACCCTCTCTGGAACACGCCTGATTCCATATCCAAAATTCAGAAACCCCCAAACCAATTTTTTTTGTTGTTGTTTTCCCTTTCTTTTCTTTTTTAACCCAGAAGCAGCCCCCAGCAAAGTGTAAAGCCTCAAGCTGCCGTGGCAGCCGCCCTCCAGTGCCCCTGACCCCGGGGCCAAAAGCTGCTGAGTGAAAAATGAAGCGCTGAGTACGAGAAATACCTTGTGTTTCTCCTCGTTCCCTGTGTTTCTCCTCGTTTCCTCCTGTTTCTCCTCGTTTCCTCGTGTTTCTCCTTGTTTCCTCCTGTTTCTCCTCCCCTGCTCCTTCCCACAGCCCGGCGATCAGGAGCCGGCACTGCCACTGTCCGACTGTTTCACCGCCCGAAAACTTCTGTAAGAAAGAATTAACTCAGGAGAGGTTCCGCTTGGCTGAGTGGCCCGTAATAAAACACTTAAGCAATTAAAAATACTACACAAAGCGGACATCCCTCTGGGGAAGGAAAAAAGGGGGAGTGGAGGGGGTGAGATCCTTTAAATCTCAGTTTTTCTGTTAAAACCCGCACTCGGGAGGCCCCCA